CGCCGGTTTACGGATTCGACGATTTGGATGAGGAGGAGTGCACGGACCAGATGATCGGGATAGTTAGGGTGTTGCGGCAGAAGTTGCCGATTCAGGACCGTCTGATGAAGATGAAGATCGTCAAGAACTGCTTCGCCGGGAGCGAGATGGTGGAGGTCATCATTCAGCACTTGGACTGTGGGCGTCGAAAGGTACGGACCCCTCTTCCCCCCTCCCAAATTTCCACACCTGTTTTTTTTACTGTTATTCTCTGTGTCTCGGACCACCGTAACCGCTTGACTCGCGGATTCTTGTCCTCTTGTTTGAATTAAACTCCGCGGGATCATTTGGTTACAGTGTGCCGCGCAGCATTTAAATTTAGTTGCTCGGCTGCTGCGGATCGAACCGCTAACTTAGCCGCAGTTTACTGATTACGCGCTAATAAGATATGAGTAACCGCTAGGTATTAAGGGTGCGTTTGGTACGTGGGACGGGACGGGACGGAACGGGACGAGGCGTTCCGTCCCGCGTTTGGTGCGCCAAAAATGGGTGGAACGGGCTGTTCCACGGGACAGATTTTGGGTGTTTTTGCGTCCCACCTACCCCCTCTGGAACGGGTTTGTTCCACGTCTGTGGAACACAATGTTTTACCATTTTAAGACAAATATACCCCATGTCTTTTTCAAAAATTACACCTTCGTTCCGTCCCGTCCTGTTCCGTCCCGTCCTGTCCCGTCCCGTTCCGTCCCGTCTGCGTACCAAACGCACCCTAAGGGAACCAGATCCCCTCCAGAGCTTAGGAGGCTCAAGCGCTAATAAGATATGAGTAACCGCTAGGTATTAAGGTATCGTTTGGTATGCAGATGAGACAGAACGGAATTGAATGAGACGGGACAGGACGAGATAGGACGGGATGGAGAGGGAGCAAAGATGTCCTCGGATGGAAACAAGAAGGAAGAAGAAAGAGACGGAGATGTTATAATTTTGTGTTCCACGAATGTGGAACGAGTCGTTCCAGGGGGTGAGGTGGAACAAAAATTCACTCAAAACGTGTCTCGTGGAACAACGCGTTCCACCCGTTTTAGGCGCACCAAACGTGGGACGGAACATCTCGTCCCACTCCGTTCCGTCCCGTCCCACGTACCAAACGGTACCTTAAGGGAACTGGATCCCCTCCTGAGCTTAGGATGTTGAGCCTCCTAAACAAATTATATGGGCTGTTGAAATTTGATCCAATGACTATAAACATGGGTTCTCTCTAAAAGTTATAATAATTGCAGTCGTTTGATCAAATTTCAACGGCCAATGTGATTTGCTCAGGAGGCTCAACCTCTTAAGCTCAAGAGAGGATCCGGTTTCAATATTAAGTGAGGTTTTGGCCGTTGTTAAGTACGAAATATTAATAAAATATTAGTATTAAGTGGATACATTTTTTAGTAATACAAGTAGATTAAATTTGTAAACTCTAAATGATATGTCATCAATAAAAAATAAGAGTATTAATTAATATTTAAGTAATTATTTAATTATCAACTTTCATGTCATTAGTTTACAAAATTTAGCTTATAAATTTAATCTGCTTAACATTATCTTGAATTTTTTAGTTTAGATCTTTAAATTTTGCAATGTGTTGCTAATAAAAAATAAACACATTAATTAATGTAATAGTTTAACTAGTAATAATTTTGTCATCTTCTCCTACTTTGCTTTGGCGTCTTTCTCACTTCCATAGCTAACATTAATAATGACGACCATGGCGGTGGAGTATGATTACATTAAACTTAATAAATACAAAATTACTATAAAAATCATTAATTAATTAAATTTAAAACCAATTATTATTCTATTTGCACAAGAATAATATGGGTTACCGATACAAACCTACTTCGTACATTTTAATGCTTAGTTTGTAGCTACATTTATCATTGAATTTAGTAATTTTTAGACTAATTTGAATGAAAAGCTTGCATCACATGTTAGATTCATTGAAGACAATTATGGCATCCACAATATCATTATTATAAGGAGCTTTTCACTAGGTCCACTCTCTTTGAGTTTATTTTTCTGACGCTCTTTCCTTTGCATTCAATTTTACCTATGTAAGAGCAATTTTTGTGTTTCAAATTCACGTGATAAAAAATATATTAATGTGAGAATAAATTTCAGTTGCAGCTTAGAATTTTTTTGAGTGAGATAGTAGTGGAAAATTAGGTCATAAATTGTGGAAGGACAAGTAGTTGAGTGCTGGTGGACCATGTTTTTGATGAAGTTCTATATGCCTTTTTGTGTGACTGGTTTTGTAACCAACGGCTAGAGAGCTACTTGTATAAGGGTACACAGTTACGATAGCATTATGCGTCTATAATACAAGAATACATGAAGAAAAATCAATACACATTTTTGTATTATTAGCACATAATGTGTAACGACCCGTACAAGTCCTCCTTGAAATGATTCCTTAGAAAACAAGAAAGGTTGTGTTGGACCTGGTTTAGCCATCAAGATATGTTTGAACTTTGAAGGGGTCCCATTAGATGTCAAATCACGCATTACAAACTTCAGTCAGATATTTGGCTCCTTCCCACCCCCAGGGAATGCATAACTCATGCCATGATTTATGAAAAGAGTAAACGCGTAACGTTTTTGACATGGCCCCCAAGTCCTTTTTCCACATTTTGGGTATGGAGGAATTTCAAACGTTGCGTCTGCCGACCTTGTTTCATAAATTGATAGGAATTGGACCGAGTTCTCAGCACTCTTGTTTCAATTATGACGTATAATAATTATTAATTAGTCCCATTTTCTAACTGTATTTTGTTGAAATTCTGTTAATTTTGCATTTTGGTTGGTCAAATTTAACTAATGAACCAGAGCCCTTTCGGTCCAAATTTTAGATTACACGTGAGCATTACACAGATGTTTTAAAACAACAAAACAAAAGTTTGTCTGTCGAGTGTGGATGTTAATTATTTGTATATAACAACATACACAGGCAGTTGAGATTGGAAGGCAGCTTGCCAGGAAGCACTTCATTCATCATGTCTTTGGGTAAGAAAATACCTGTCGAACCAACTGAAAACTAAAGAAACTGGCATAGTTTCATCCATAATAACCCTTTTGTGTTTGTGTAGGGAAAATGATTTCGAGGATGGAAACCATTTTTATCGTTTCCTTGAGCACGAACCATTAATTCCCAAATGCTTTAATTTCCGGGGATCCATAAATGATTGTGAACCAAAGCCTGCAGCGAAAGTTGGCCAAAGGCTCACCAAGATCATGTCTGCCATACTCGAGTCCTATGCCTCAGATGACCGGCGCCATCTTGATTACGGCATTAGCAACAGTGAGGAGTTCAGAAGGTAGGATCAGTCAACATTGCAGTTAGCACTTTCACTCAATTAGATAAGCATTTATATGCCGAAAGTTTCACCAATTTGCTGTTTCTTGCTTTACATTGCATATTCCTGAGAATTGAAATATGATGAAGTGGCTTCCTCTTTGAACGAAATACTTTGATTGGCATCAATTTCACCAATTTACTAGTTTACTTTACAGAAAATTGTATCAAATTAGTGATACATTGATGCCGATCTTAATCTGCATTGCAAGTTATGGAACTTTGTTTTAAGTAAATCCCTTCTTCTCTTCAATGCAGGTACATAAATTTGGTTCAAGAACTACACCGAGTAAACCTTTTTGAACTCTCAAAGGATGAGAGGCTAGCCTTCTTTTTGAACCTCTACAATGCCATGGTCATCCATGCGGTTATCAGGATAGGACGTCCACAAGGAGTAATCGAAAGGAGATCCTTCTTTTCCGACTTCCAATATTTGGTCGGTGGCCATCCTTATTCCCTCAGCACCATCGAAAATGGGATCCTCAGAAACAACCGCAGACCTCCTTATTCCTTGGTCAAGCCCCTTGGAGCTGGAGACAAGCGTACAGAGGTGAACATTTTTATTAATCTCTGATTCTTCTGCCTTCTCCCTTCCCTAATCATTGGACGATAGAACAGTTCTGGATAAAAGTTTCCTCCACTTGCATTTTAGTCATACATACTTGTTATTTTGTTTGAGTAACTTTCTCATTGTCTGAAAAGATTACTGAGTTTCATTTCGTCCAATATAATACAGCTTGCCTGTGCTAGTGTGAATCCATTAATTCACTTCGGACTCTGCAACGGGACAAGGTCAAGCCCAACGGTAAGATTTTTCTCACCCCAAGGAGTTGAAGCTGAATTGAGATTTGCAGCTAGAGAGTTCTTTAAGAGCGGTGGAATGGAAGTGAACTTGGAGAAGAGGACCGTGCACCTCACCCAAATTATTAAATGGTGAGTGATTAAGTCACTATTAAACCTTCATTAGCTGTTCTAAAAGCAACCGTCATGGTTAGACAATGCTGAAGAGAAACAAATATTGTGTGTGCGCGCGCGTTTGTGCAGGTTCAATGGTGACTTTGGACAAGAAAAGGAAATTCTAAAGTGGATCCTGATATACTTGGATGCAACCAGAGCCGGTCTTTTGACACATCTTTTGGGTGACGGAGGGCATGTAAGTATCGTTTACCAGAACTACGATTGGTCCATGAACTCTTGAACCTCGAAAACCCGTTAGGTGCCGTTGTTTGAAAACTGAAACTTATCACAGGTGACGCATACACATATAGATACTTGCATTGGCAAGGGAAGTATTATTGTATATAATACCTCATTTTTGAGAAAAGAATTAGAGGATTTGTTGATTTGAATTCGTTGTGAAGAAATTGAAAGAGAGAGAGAGAGGGAGGAGAGGGAGAAAGGAATTGAAGTATGTGACGAGATTTCCCTTGTAAATTTCTTCCTGTGTTATGAGTTGAGTTTTTTGGGATGCAATGAAAATCTAGTTTTTTTTTTTATATAATTAGCAATGCCAAATGGTGAATGATTATGAAATAATGCCTTCAAACATGTCACACAACAACCACGATATGGTGACTCAATGATTGGAGACGAATTTCAGGCCTGCATTTTACAAGGATGTTCTGGGTTCGTTTGATGGCATTGGAGAAGAGAAGTAACACTTGATAAAAAAAAATATTAAAACATTAAAAGAGTATAACATAAGTAATTTGAGATGTGTGACATACCCCCTTGGGAATTTTGGGCCTTAGCTTCCACAGTCAGAGCCCATTTAAAATATATTAAATGGCCTTTTTTAATTCCCTCCAATTCTTCCCGCCAAGAAATCTAAAAATAAAAAATAAATCCAGAAAATGAAATAAAATACCAAAAGATCACGATCCACTCGTCGGATTCAGAAAGCAAAATCCGAACAAGAAAATGGACAAGGCACCAGCAGCAACCGGCTGCTACAAGTGCGGCCGACCAGGCCACTGGTCACGTGACTGCCCCTCCTCCTCCACCCCTACACCCAATTCTAACGCCGATCCCGATCCCAATCCCAATCCTAACCCTAATCCTACCAATCCCAATTCCTCTTCATATCCTTTCAAAAGCGGTGCTGGTACTGGGATCGGAGGGAAGGTTAAGAAGGTGTCGGTTCCGAAGACTCGGCCGAAGCTGACTCCGGAGCTGCTTCTCTCAGATGACGGCCTCGGCTACGTCCTCCGCCACTTCCCTCGCGCCTTCAAGTACCGCGGCCGCGGACACGAGGTCCGATATCTCACTTCTGCTCTTGTTTCTTTTCCTTTGTGCAAGAACATTCATAATAGTTGTTAATTTTTTCAGTAAATTAGTAAAAAGTAACTCGATAATTATAAATTAGAGCTCGATTAGAGAAGAAAACCCTTCAGTTATCCAGACGTGTTGCTTTAATTGATTCTTAATTGTGAAATTTCTATGGTGTACTTCTTCCCTTACAAAGTCTGTATCGGTTCTTTTCTAAATTATTGGGTTTGAAGCGATTTTCTCGAAAGTGTGATACTACTGAGGAAAAATGTGAAAGTGCCATTTTTCTTTGGGCGATTTTGCAGGTTAGAGATTTGGGAAATCTAATTGGGTTGTACACACAATGGCATTCGCGTTTGCTCCCGTATTACTCATTTGATCAGTTTGTTCATAAGGTCGAACAAGTTGCCGCTACCAGACGAGTAAAGGTACTGATGATATCTCACTTTTTTATTTTGAATGTCTTTGGAGTCTCCCTCAAAGCTTAATTCTTAATCTGCACTTTTGAGCAGATGACGCTGAGGGAATTGAGAGAAAGAGTTGCAAGTGGAGGAGACCCAACAAAGTTGCGCGAACCACCAGTCGAGGAAGGCATTCCAAATGATCAACAGGGTATTATGCTCCGTCATTTTTGTATAATTGTTCTAATTTATCATGTGATGAGATACATTTTTAGAGTTGCTGGCATATTATCATTTGTACAATATCTTGAGTGCCTATTGCCAGAGTTGTTTGGTATTAATTGGAAGGACTGAGTGCTGCAATTACTGTAAGTAATTAACAGAAGACCTGTAAGAAGATTGAAAATGGGATCCTCAGACGTTTAGGTAATAACTCGATTAGGGATATGATGTTAGGATAAAGGATTGGCTGCTGAGTGGAATATGAGCAATGTTGAGGAGAGAAACATCACTGCACCGGACTACCAGAGATTAGTGGGTGAGAATAATATTGATAAGTGGAAATCTACTTGCATTGATTTTATGTTACTTAGTTTTAATAATCAAGTAGGGAGTTCTTCCTTTCTTCTCTAAGCATCTCCATTCTCAATTAAGTATTTCTCTTTGTCTCTCATTAGCCACATCACGTCTCTTAGTAGCTGCTAAGATTGCTTGTATAGTCATAGCTTTTGCCTCATCTCTAGCTGCTTCCCGTGCCATGCTCAGTTCACCTTGGCGAGCAAGTTCGTCCATATATTTTGTATAGTCATTCTTGGAAGAACTTCCTTTTTTCTTTACCACCTTTTTACCTTGAGGCCTTAGGGACCAATGAGTCGGCTCCGGTACTGCTTCAGGCGTCCCTTCCTGCTCTTCAAATGTGTTGCCTTCCTATTCGGCCGGGTCTGCTTCTGACGAACTGTGTAGAGGGATGCCGTGCATGACAACGTCTGGACCAGTTGACATAAGTTTGTGGGACAATCTTTGACAACATTCCAACATTCTCATTTGATGAATGATTTGTTGTGGTTTTTCGCATTGTACCATGCTTGTGCTTGAAGTGTCTAAAAATGTAGGATAAGACAATATAATCTTATTCATCGTGGCATTTGAAATAGTTGATTTGGAAAAACCATCGTCTTTTATGTTTCCATTTTGAATTCTGATCTTGTTATATTCCTGCAGAAACTTTGAACCCTGAGGGACCAAGTGATCACCAGGGGGGTTCGTCTTCAGGGAACCATGATGTGGATGATATGCAGGAAGAGATGCTTCATGAAATCTATGAGAAAGCTACTCAAGTATGTGCAATTTTGTTCAATCTAGTTTATTTCTTGGTGTTCGGATTAAAGCTCCGTTTGTTAATTAGTAGAGCTTGATGTCCTTTGCTTTGCTAATTGTAGGAACCGTCTGAGACGTTCCATGGTGAGATGGTTGCTGCTAGTGCTAGTATATCTGCAGCAGATAGTTTCCAGAAAGAAATAACCAATCAAGTTCAAAATAATGAAGCTAGGGAATCCAGTGAAAATCAGATGACAGATGAACAGAAAACGCGAATGGAAGCTAATAGATTGAAGGCACTTGATAAAGCTGCAGCTCGGCGCCGCCAATTGCAGGCTGCTTGAGCTTCCGTTTCTCTTCTCTCTTGCTCTAAATTCTGTTTCATGGGGTTATGACACAGATGGGAATTGCAGGCACGCATGGTTTAAGGCATCAAGGCAGAACTTTCTGTCTTCATAATTCTTTGTATGGCGAAGTTTTCTTCATATATTTACGCATGGTTATGTGCATTTTGTTTGTAACATCGTAGTAAGGGGATATAAAGGCTTGTTTGGTACCTTGGTCCCAATGTGCATCCATTCAAAATCCATTTCAGGTTTTATCTTTTTTCTTATAATAGCGACGTATCTGAGACATATCTGAAACGAATTCATTGCCAGCCACATGATATTGAATCAAGACGTCACAATGATGGGGAGCTCGTTTCTTATAAATCTTTCTCCTGATATGACTTTGATTTTGATTTTCTAACCATTTGTTTATATAAGTATTTTCAAACCAATGTATTATTATACTTGTCCCAAATAAAAGCTGGATACTAGTTGCTGATTGCTTGTGTGCATGAGATTTGATATCTTTTGGGCCCTCCTAGATCTCCGGCAACGTACGCGGGGTGTGTCGTCAGGCCACGACCACCGTCAACCACCGTATTGATCGATTCAAAGCCAGTTGGCATGAGTTGTTGGAGCCGAATACCAAGTGGCGGTGAAATAACGTGATCAGCTCAACCCTCTCTCCTCATTTCTTGTTGGGCCGGATATATAACGTGAGCTCAATTACTTGTTCCAGCTTTTTGTCACGTGTAATATACCAATGATTGTACACGAGTAATGAGGAAAGAGACTTACCTCTCTGTTACCGTGACATATTAGACAAATAATTTAGAAAATTTATGTATCTATTGGTTTGAAACACCTTGTAAGCTTTTTTAGGGAAGAGATTTTTCAGTGTGATCGGAATACGAGATAGTACATCATGTGTTACTATACAAATTGTAAGATATGTGTGTTAAAAAATTAATAACTTAAAAATACAATTTCTCACTATTCATATAAAAGCACGTAGTGTATCTTTTATGTTTCGGTTACAAGGAAAAATTTCTCTTTTTATGGATAAGTTCGCAATGATGGAGTAAGGTGTCTGGTAGTCCAATAAGTTCAACCCCTTGTGGCCTAGCATGGACTACGAGGAGGCAATTAAGACCTTGTTTTAATAGCATCCCTAGCTTAATAAATACTTATTAGGCGTTTAAAAAATAAATCATTCGCCCATTAATACTTACTATGTGATTAATCGGCGACAAAAGAATGTCTCGAGGTTTCAATTATTTCACCTGGTTGCCCAGTTAAAATATTGTTCTCAAGAGTTTTCTTTTTCAAGTATCGAGTTTTCAAGCGCTAATTTAATGTGCAATTTTTTTTTTATGAGAACTTTAATGAAAACTTTTAGGATTGTTGATTTTAACAAAAAATCATATTTTTATTTTAAAAAGTTAATCTTAGTATTATTTACTTTACCATTTATTTTGTGTTAAAACTCAAAGTTTTCAAACATTTTTCATTATTTTTCTTTTTTTTCCAGATTTTTTTTATGTATAATTTTCCTTTTCAAGTTTTAGCATTTATCTGGGTCGACTCACTCAAACCCTTCACAACTTCAATATTCTTTTTTTTTTTAAAAACTGATAAAAATGGTTTTAAAACTTTGAGTTTTAACGATAAAGACAAAATAAAGGTTAAAATGAATAGTACTATGATTGATTTTTTCGTATAAAAATATAATTTTTCATTAAAATGAACAGTATCACGAACTTTTCGTTAAAACTCCATTTTCTCTTTTTTTATCTAAGTTTTTCGGACGCTTGTTAATTTCAGAGAGGGTAGCTAGCTGTTGAAAATTGATGAAATCGAAAACTCGGGGGTGAGTAAATTTTGGATCCCTTTCCCTTTTGAGGTTTCACCACTCTCCGGTAAAAAAAGTCTGAGCCTTTGAGCCGCCCAAGAGAAAGTAAAAAACAAACATAAATTTAGAAAATATTATTTATTTAGTTATAATTATTGGGTTTAATAGTGCCTGCAGATTAAGAATATACAAATCATAGAGAGAAGCGGAGTTCTGAGCTTCCTTCACGTGAAGCTTACGCTGTAATAAAATTACAATTACAAGTAAATGTCCGGGAAACGATGTCGTGTTGCCAAGCCCCACTGTTTTGGTGTCTCCCCATTGCTCAGTACATAGAGCTCGCCAATGGGCTTTTTGCACCTTAAATGCTCCCCTCCTCCGCAGCTGGGAGTAGAGTAAATTAGAAGTGCTTTTTTTTTAGAAGCAGAAAAGCAAAAGCCGTTGTTTTTTGTTTCAAGCTGTCGAATCAATCAATGGTACAGTTGCAGCATCAGCACAGTGATCGATCGAGTCAAAGAACGAAGCTTCTGCTTCTAATGCTATCGCTGCATGCATAGTAAAAATGGCTCACTCAAATTTGGGGAGGTGGTGCTAGATCTTGAAGATATGGAAAGCGATTGGGCAGAGACTGAGAAAGGAAAGTGAACCAAAAAAAGTTCAAAACCTTTTCGCTTTCGAGATTCAAAACTCAAAAGGTTCCATATATATACACACATTTCAGATTCTGATTTCCCAGTTGGGTTTTCTCAATCAGCAAAATCCAAGTTCAAAGATTGCATTTTTGAGATGTTGGCGGTCTGAAAAATCGATCCAATCCGCAGATTTTTAAAAATGGTTTCTCAAAAAGGTCGAATCTTTTTCTTATTGCTGCCATTGCTGTTCTGGGGTTTTCTGGGTTCGGCAGAAGCAGGAGACGCGGAGACTCTGTTATCTCTGAAATCTACAATCGACCCTCAAAACGTGCTGCCATGGCGGCAGGGAAGCAATGTGTGCGAGTGGGAAGGCGTGAAGGACTGCCTGAGAGGCAGAGTCACGAAGCTTGTGCTGGAATATTCGAACCTGACGGGGGTTCTGGATCACAAGATCTTGAACCGGCTCGACCAGCTCCGAGTCCTCAGCTTCAAAGGCAACTCCCTCTCCGGCCAAATCCCCGACCTCTCCGGCCTCCTCAACCTCAAATCCCTCTTCCTAAACGACAACAACTTCTCCGGCGTTTTCCCCTCTTCCATTTCTGACCTCCACCGCCTCAAAGTCGTCGTCCTCGCTGGAAACAAAATCTCCGGCGAAATCCCAATGTCGCTGCTCAGGCTCCGCCGCCTCTACGTCCTGTACTTGCAGGACAACAGGTTCACCGGTCCCATTCCACCGCTCAACCAGACCTCCCTCCGGTTCTTCAACGTGTCGAATAACCAGCTATCCGGAGAAATTCCGGTGACCCCAACTCTGATTCTGTTCAATGCCTCGTCTTTTTCGGGGAACGTCGATGTCTGCGGGGAACAAATTGACAAACCGTGCGCGGGCATTATCGGGTTTCCGCCGTCGATCAGTCCCACCAGTCAACCGGGTCCAAAGTCAAAGTCAAAGCGCGGGAAACTGATTAAGATAATCGCAGGGAGCGTGGGCGGGTTCGTGGTGGTCGTAATCTGCTCGGTTCTGCTGTGGATGGTGTGCCGGAGGAGTCGCGGCGGTGGCGGGGAGGCGAGGAGGAGCAAAGGCGGGGTTGTTGGGGGTGCTGAGCTGGCAACAGAGAGAGGAGGATCAGGGGAGGGGCCCAGTGGCAAGGGAGGTAATAATGGTGGGTTTTCGTGGGAAGGTGAGGGGTTGGGGAGTTTGGTGTTCTGCGGAGCAGGGGATCAGCAGATGGGTTACCGTCTGGAGGATTTGCTCAAGGCGTCGGCGGAGACGCTGGGGAGGGGCACAATGGGAAGTACGTACAAGGCGGTGATGGAGTCCGGGTTTATCGTGACGGTGAAGCGGCTGAAGGACTCGAGGTACCCGAGGATGGACGAGTTTAGGAGACACGTGGACTTGCTAGGGAAGCTGAGGCACCCACACTTGGTCCCACTGAGGGCCTACTTCCAGGCCAAGGAGGAACGCCTGCTCGTATACGATTATTTCCCCAATGGCAGCCTCTTTTCACTTATTCATGGTATGTCTTGTCGGTCCTCTCATCTCATCTACTCCCCTTATTCACCTGCTTTTTTATTTATTTTTTTCGTTTAATAATCACTATGGTTGTGTTTAGCTTGTAAAGTTTTCCGTACCAAAGTTTGAGATTAACTTCTGGTTAACATCATAAATTTTCCAAGTAGCTTGTGTTTCATGTGGGGTCGGGTGTGACTAAATTACAAGAAAAATTAGAATTGTCTAACCACTTTATTTGTACAACATTTTTCATAAAATATAAGACTTATTCCATGTAAAGTTGCCTTAGTCGGAAAACCCTACGTAAGCATCTTTATCATTATCATACAAGCTTTCTAACTAGACATATTTAGTGATGTAAACTTTCTAACTAATGATTTTTAGAGGTCATTGATTATTGATTTAACGGTGGGTCATGTTGGATTTGCCATGTTGATCCAGTGAAAGCATGATGAATTAGTGGTGTGGGGTCACCTACATCTGTAGGCGCCTGTAGGGTCCACCCCATGCAGGTTTCTGGGCTGGAAGCCATGTTGGCCATCCTATAAACATGACGTATTCATGAACCTAATAAATTTGGTGCTTGTGTGTTCTTTCTGATGGAGGAAATTTCATCCCTTTCCATTTCTATGAAACGTGAGGAGGCTGGCTGGGTTTTTAAAACAAATTCAACTCCTTGAATTGGGGTTGGACCCCACACACAAGTCTACAGCCTGATTTGGGAATGTCCTCTTAGATCTCATAGCTAGGATTTCATCATTCCTGTGATCATCACTGAATGATTAACAGAAAGATTACTCTTTTGTGACAAAAAAATTATGGGTTTGAGAGTTGTGAAAAAAAACTTCTTTGTAAACTAATAAGGTTGCATACGATATACGTTCCATTTAGCCCTTACAAAGCAGAAAGCCTTGTTGGTTTGAGGTCGCCTTTTTATGCGATCATCAATGACTAAATTTCATGTAAGCTCTATATATATTTTCTTAATGCATGTTATTGCTCGTCGACTACTTTCCTGCATTTAAGTTTGAATTTATCTCTTTTTCATGAGGCCAATATTCTGAGGAAAAAAATGTTGATTTAGTGTGGCATGAGTCATTGTCAGTCTTTCTGCACAGTTCATCATTCTCCAAGAGATTTAGGTAAATAAAGACAAGATTTCAGAGGGTAATTAATAATTGAACTCAATTATACAATAATAAATTTCAATCTTTGGAAAGGAGATGGCCTGCTAATCAACCTTTCAATTTTGAGTATGAGTGACCTCAGCATGTTAGTGACGTCTCACTGGCTCAAATTCTCTGGTTATCGTGTCTGCACGTTGCACATTTGATCATATTATTTGGAGAGATTCAACCGTGTAGCTGGAGATATATCGCTTTCTGTCTATCTCTCTCGTCGCGTCGTCACATAACTGTGTGCATTGTACCTTCGCTAATCTAGTTCATTTCATTAAATACTTGGCTTTTAGTTGGCTTTTGTCGCTTGTTCAACAAGTTTTCTTGAATGTTTCTTTAGACTAGTTGTAGTGGTGAAATACTCCAACTGTTTTACAGGTTCAAGAACTTCAGGAGGCGGGAAGCCGCTTCACTGGACGTCATGTCTTAAAATAGCTGAGGACTTGGCGAGTGGTGTTGTTTATATCCACCAGAACCCCGGCTTAACTCATGGAAACTTGAAATCCTCAAACGTCTTGTTAGGTTCCGATTTTGAATCCTGCTTGACGGATTATGGTCTCACGTTATTCCGAGATCCGAATTCACTCGAAGAACCTAGCGCAACCACTCTCTTTTATAGAGCACCAGAATGCCGCGACATCAGAAGACCGTCCACCCAACCAGCCGATGTGTACAGCTTTGGCGTCCTCCTCCTGGAGCTCCTAACCGGAAAGACTCCCTTCCAAGACCTTGTTCAGGAACATGGTTCGGACATCCCTAGATGGGTCCGCTCAGTGCGCGAAGAAGAGATAGAGTCAGGGGATGACCCTGCCTCGGGGAATGACGCATCAGAGGAGAAGCTGCAGGCACTTCTTAACATAGCAATGGCTTGTGTTGCGCTTTCACCGGAGAACCGACCAGCGATGAGAGATGTTCTAAGGATGATAAGGGATGCTAGGGCGGAGGGTCACGTGTCTTCCAACAGCAGTGATCACTCGCCGGGGAGATGGTCGGGTACCGTTCAGAGCCTGCCAAGGGAAGAACACTTGAGCATTTGATCACGAGTGATTGGTAAAGTAATTAACGTGGCGGATTAAACTTAATCATGTATTCTGATTCTTTCGGGGTTGAACCGTGATTCTTGTACTACGCATTGTAGAGTGCAGCTCTTGGTGTAAAGGTTCTGTGATTTAATTCTTGTTTCTTGTTTTAGCATATTGAAGAAAGATTTACATGAAACGCGTTTATCGCCACAGTGAGGTCAGCAGAGTTTTGTTATTGGTTGATGAGATTGAGAGTTGAAACATTTATTTATTGAAAAATTAAGATTGACCTGTTTGTGAAATTGCGTTATTTAATGCATGGTAATATTGACAGTCCCTACCAAATTACCTCCAACTGACATATACATCTGGAATCTTTATTGTTTTCCCATGTGGGCCTATAAAGTAGGTGGGCCAAATGAGATAGGCTGTGAAAATGGGCCCTCTGTTTGGGCCATGGGCTCGGCCCCCTAGGTCCCCACATTAATTGGTGCACCACTAAGCGTAGCACAAAATTAAAGAGGAGACAAATTAATTGAAGCAACAACAAAAAAGCAAAAGGGGAAAAAGAGGGGGAAAAAAATTGCATTTTTACTCACCATTATTTAATATGTTGTATGCTTATTCTTCTATTAATCATCGTTAAATAAATTTGAATTTTGAAATTTATGCTTATTTATAACACGAATCTTGAAATTCAAATTCATCTAACGATATAAATAGGATGATGAGAAAAAAAAAAAGGCGTATAAATTAGTGGGGGAGGATGTTTTGGTTTGCATGTGTGCCGCGTGTGCATGGCAAAAGCCATTACATTGACTGCTGTTGACAGTTAAACCAATCGCCCCTCGGTTTGCTTACCAATGCATTCTTCCCCAAATTTTGTTCCGAGGAGTTCACATTATTTTTGTAACCAGTCTATTTTTCCAAACTATTTAACAGCCACAAATGGTTGAAGAAAAATTACAAACTTTTCAGGTTTCTTTTCCAAAATAGTCACTATAAACAACTGAATTTATCTATTTTAATTGAAAGTTTTAATCAAAATGTTCAGTGCATCTCTAAAGCATATGTTAAATTTTAGATGAGGATGTTACTGTCATATTTGACATAATAAATACCTTTTCAATCAAAGTGTTATGTGTTGACTGAACTTGAAGTCTTTGTGGTTAGAAGTCAAATTTACTTTTGATTAGTTTAATAGTAACTCCCTTATTTTACTAGTATTTTTAGTAAATAAAAATTTTGTTTCAAGAAATTATTTAATAATACAACTATTCAAAGTTCTAAGTTAATAAAAAAAATTATATTTTGATAATTTAATTGGAGAAACATAAGACTTCAGATTTATCATACTGAGTTATCAATTATAATTCGTGCCAAAAATCCCATCGGTTCGATTAGAGCAGTTCCACCGGGGAACCTTTAGGCCAGCACCCAACCAAATTATTGGCCCAGCACCCAGCCAATCCATTCCAGCCGAGCAAATAGGCTGGCACCCAGCCCAAGCTGGTCTCTAGGCCGACTCAGAATGTGCTGAGCCCTTGCCCGGCCTACATGATGCCAGGCGATACCGCCACGTCTCCTTGAGCTGAATTCGAAGCTCTCTGCTTTCCTTCCACCACCACCCCAACTCGAGCTTCCATATCCAAAACCCTCCCTCTCGGTCTTGGGTTGTTGCTCGGAGCTGCAGCGATTGAATAGATCGGTGACAAAGTAGCTGACGTCATGGTCTGAATCGGAGGCGGCGTCGGAGAACCAGTCGCAATCGGAGGAGCTCCGGGGATCGAGAGGATCGACGGCGAAGGGTTTGCAGTTTTGGTTGGCGCACCAGTGGGTGAGGGGATCGAGGAGGAGGGTTGGGTGGGATTGCGGGTCGTCGGGTTCGTTTGGTGGTTGCGGCTCGTGGGGTAAGGCCGAACTTGGTTAATCTCACATGGGTTTTGGTGGTTTGAAGAGAAGAAAAAGAAGAAGGGAAGAAAAAGTGGTGAAACTGTGCTTGACAGCACAGTTGGAAAATCAGGGAAGAAAAAGAAGAATGGAGTCCAGAGAGTACTTTCATAAAAATTATTATTTTATAATAAAAATTAATAAAATTTTAATAAAATTGACTAGGCTATTTAGTTTTAGGGGTGGAGATGCCTTGGCCTATTACTGTTTATTGGAGTCTGTTACTGTTCACTTGAGTGGATAAATGCGCTGGGTGCTGGCGCAAAGTCCACAGGGGTGGACTTGCTCTTAGGTCATTTCTTCAAATAACGATTGTTTACCAAACTGAGCAGAAATCGGTGAAAGCATTCAAACTTAATAGGAATGGCGCACGTACATTCATGTTCCACTACATATATGCTACATTATGTAACTAAATTATGTTATGCAGTAGTCCACTTGCTAGAAATAGACATAAAATATAAGCAATGTTTTTCTGGCACTAGTGAGTCACACGATGGTGATTAAAAAGAGACTGAAATGCCTATCATAACAAAACTACAAACCGGTCCCATTTAATATTAAAAAATTCAACAATGTATGAGGTGATTCCCAATTTCACATAAAATAATGAATATAATATGTGCGCGATGAATTGGGAAGTACTACCAAATCATAATTTATACAATAATCGAAAATACATTATACATTTGATTAAGAGAAATACGAAGAAGACTCTTTTAAAATATGACTATTTATGAACTCTTTGACACTGAAAAAAGTTAAGATTTCATTATAAAATCAATTAGCAATATAGGGAGTAATCCAACTATTTATAAGCACATGAATGGTCTTTCCTCTCATTAATGTGAGAGTCATTCTCAACATACATTTTTATAATATTAGTACGAGAATTGACATTAAAGAGGCTCCTCTTAACATTTTCCTTAGATTAATTGACTGAACCAGCACTTGGATCGATAGGCTTCTTATGTTTTAGAGCGGCAAAATATAAAACAAATATGACTCGGACAATAAATAAATCAAAGAGAGGAGACATTAATATTACGATTTAAATGTAGGGAACTTTAACGAAAAGCACCCGGTACTGTTCACTTTAACGAAAAACCACATTTTTACACTAAAAAGTCAATCTTGGTACTATTCACTCTATCATTTATTTTATCCTTATCATTAAAACTCAAAGTTTTCAAACCCTTTTTATTAATTTTCCTTAATTAATGTATTCTATACAATATTTTTGTATTTATTGAGCGGCTTAACCTAAATTTCCACCGGAACGGTAGGCATAAAAGTATGGACGTATCAAAATTATGAGAGAAAAAGATTAAACAAAGTCCAATAGCATATATATCATCGCATCATTAAAAATGCCAATATATATGAGTTGATGTTTGAAGAGAGAGAGAGAGAGAGAGAGAGAGAGAGAGCAGTCTTCTCTTCTCTTCTGACGCTACCGTCTTCAAATTTCAGTCTCAGAAGAGAAACACAGAGAAACGGGAGGAGGAGAGAGAGAGCGCTTTCCGACGGCGATCGGCGATGAGCTGCTCTGTTGATAAGTTGTTCTAAGTTAGAGACAAACATTGATACATTGAGGAATATTGATCAAGGAGGAGGAGGAGGACGATCTCTCTGGGCCGCTCTGATTAATTTCTCTGAGAATTCAATCGAGAGAGATTTTGAGATGGAGGAGCAGACCGCACAGGTACTTTTCTTCTCGATTCTTCTACTCTTTGCAATGATACACTTTCCTTTAAAAAAATTCATATAAAACTGGAAATTTGTAATGACTCGGTGTTTACGTTAGTACGTGGAGCTTATTGTTCTACGACTTAAATCTCGGTTTACAGATATATCGTTGAATTTTTCCTCTGCCTTAATTTCCAAATTGTTTTCATTTATATATCGATTTTATTCAAATTACAGATACAATTAAGATGAACTGATAATCTCCATGTTTTAATTCTTTTTGTAATTTTCTAGTTTTTATGTCTCTCTTCTTGTTGGACTCCAATATTTGTCGTAATCGAACTTGTTCATTCTAATTACTAATTACTAATTCGATTTAAAAACGGTTTAACCATCCATAAATTTCAGTTTCAATTTCACTTCTGAATGCATTTTCAGATGCGATCAAGTCGTATTTCTTTTAACTTATAAATGAATACTTGACATCGAAATCAAGCAACAGTATTAGCATGATATATCAGAAAAAAAAAAAACCATATTGCATCATGACATTAGTGGTACTGAAGTGACACGTTATATGTTGTCTTTTTGTGCATTTGCTGCTGTACATCAACTCTGTAGCTTTTGGATGTCTACGTTATTTGGAAATTTGAATTTGGATTAAAACTTAAAAGACCAAACTGCGCTGACTAGCAAAGAGTATCTCAAATGTTTGTAATTAAAATTTGTTATTAGCATCTAATCTGTAATTAATCACCTTCCTATTCATGCAATGAAGGACTCTGCAGAATACCGGTAAGTACAGCTATATAACAAATGCCTGGTTAAGGCCAAAGTCCAAATATAAAAACAAATTGTAAATATACACACACCCACACACACACACACACATATATATAGAGGTTGATAGCAATTATTGAAGCCATAAGTCATCCACTTCCACCATGCTAACTGCCAAGCATCATTCAACTCACGGACTCAATAGTTCTTGGTATATATGCATGAACATCTATGCTTTTTAATTAGGACTCATGTGAAAGTGACTTTAAAATAACTGAAATTATTTTTAGTGAAAATGTTTTGGGAACCAATTTTTAATAAAAATACAAGTTAATCATGAAAAAGCACTTCAAGTGCTTTGGAAACCTAAAAATATTTTCTTTAAAAATACTTTCAATCATTTTAAATACACTTCTAAACGAGCCATTAATCTATAAGCTATTTAATTATGCTTTTGCCTTGGAGTATCATATACATTTTCGCTTAATTCGAGCAAACAACTAAACAAGCATATCAGAAACGCAGTAGATTGTCTGCCATCGTAAAAATATATCCCATTATTATAAGTAATTTTTGGGATATTTTAGGTGCATGTGGTTCCATGATTGCGTATTAGTTTTATTAATTCAAAAGATTATTAATTAAGCTTAATTAGCATGAGTAATTTTTGTGTAGTTTTTCTTGCCTCGTGTTCTTCACATCACATGGGAGACCATGGGAGTGGTCCAAGAATTAGATAAAAATTAGGAGTATGAAATTTGTATTCATCCAATTTCATTTGGCTTTGTATTTAGTCCTAATAATTAGTTTTCTTTTTATCAATTTGTTTAAGTTTGTCACTTAGTATTATGGTCTAGTGGTATTCCTCTTCATTTGTAAGTGAAAGGTCTTAGGTTCGATTATCGTCAAATATGAGTTTGAACCACATTATTGATAGCTCATAATGAGGCTAAGCTCCACCCTCTCATCTTTAGTGTAGATAATATCTTTTGTTCAAAAAATAAAATAAAAATTAGGGCAAGTTTATTTGGAATTGGCTACGTTCTACATAGGTGTCATATTTAATAAAGAAAATATAAATAGTACCCCAATAATGTTACTCTTCTGACATTAGCTAGCTCACTGCTTTAGAGCTGTCTGTTGTTTCTCAGGTACTTGTAGTCCTTCCTTGGAGGCCAAATGCTACATCTTTCTAGCAACTGTCAGTCAACAACAAAAGAAAATATGAAATTACCGTCTAGATATATAAATGATAAAAATCTTTTAAGCAATTAGTAACTTATCTGCAACTGCATTATCAATCATGCTCGAAGTAAATAAATTTTCGAGCTCCATGTTATTGATCTGCATCCGGTTATTCCTGCCCAAATTCGAGCAGTGTCCGTAGACTATTGGACCTTGTATGGGATTGTGAATGTCTGTTGTTAAACACGGTTGTCTATAAAATTTGGATTGATGCATTGTACGTAGGTCACTGATTATATCTCATCGGCAGATTATTTATGCATCCATTAATGTACTGATATTATTTATTTAATTCAACGACAGACTGATACAACTGCTTCAGATAGAACTCATACCGTCGTGTTGGATATTGAGAGCCTTACACAACTCTCAGATAGAAGCTCCGGAAGCCCCAAAATGACAGTAAGTAGCAGTGTCGTTGTTGTCAATCTTGAAAGTACTCCTCACATGGCATGCACACTAATTGATCAGCAAACTTTCTCATGCTCTTCTTTTACACTATTTTTTTTTTTCTGTAGAGAGCACTCTCAAGAAAATGGTCTTATCGAGCAGAGAGATTGATTAGTAATGACGAGGAGGACACGGATGAGCCACCAAAGAAACTTCTAGTGAAAGGTATAATATAGCCATCTAGCTAGCTTTCTATGAAGTTTCAAAAGATAATTTGCAATCTTATTGAAAAGTTAATGTCATCCTTTACTCTAATGGGTTGGTGTCAACATTCAAAATCATCGATCACCTTGGCATAGATTGCAATTTGAACTTTATCTATGTTACCCTTGATAGTGAATTCTCAGTCGGAGCCTTTGAAGCAGTCATTGATCACTGCAAAATCTATTGGGTCAAGCTCAACTGCGCTTACAGGCACTAATCGGTTTATGGCCATCAACCCTCGGAAGATACTTTTTATATTTGCAACAGTGTAAGCCCTCTATTTCTTTCCTCAATAAATATGAATCCTCTACCATGTCTTTTTATATGTACTACTCTGGTAACAAATACGAGAGATGAGATTTACGTGAAGTGATTGTTGGCTTCTTCTTCTTGATCAGGTCCAGTATGGGTACATTAATCCTCATATATTTCACACTGGCTATCAATAGAACAGTTTGACAGACCATGGATGGAATGGAGCTAGCATAGCGTAGACGGGCACATGATCGAATCAAAGCGTATTCACTCTCTCCGATTTTAATTTTTTTGGTAGCTGTGCTGCTGGGGATAACTACTCCATTCATGAATCCTCCATGCTGCAGTCTCAGTCTTTGTCTAACGGTTGATCTCTCTTCTCTTCTCACTCTGCAAGTTGAGATCAAATACATATACTTGTTAAATGATCCAGCTTTTTCAGCTGCACCAACTCTGTCAGTTTGTGTCAGCGCAGCTACTTGATTGAGTTACCATCTCATCCGGTTAATTTTTGTGCTGCTTCTTGCTTCCAAAGCAACCCTGTTTTATGCATCAAAAATCTACCAGGGACTTACCCCCGTGGTTTATTTATTTATTTATTTTTTTACTCAAGGTTAACGTGCATGTTGTTGATTAGGGTGTTTTTAAACCACTTCGAATTAAGCATCAAACACTAGGCTTTTAGGCACCTCTCTGATATAATCGTTGTACTATCGACATTCAGTTTTGTATCGAATGCTTAGTTATGTCTTGAGAAATATAGATCGTTATCGTTGCATGTTGACGTGCATCATAGTTATTGGAATGGGCTGCACAAATTTGAGGGGATGAGGAATTTGAATTCGGAACGTAACTACTAAATATTTGCTTATGCACGTTACGTTTTGTGTTCAATTTTCATTGAGCGTGAAGCTCAAATTTTTTGTTCACTTTTCACCACGTGTTCCGGCAAAATTATTAGTTGACAGTCCATTGGCCTTTTACATTTAGTGGACCGGTCCAGATTCCTTAATAAGAGCTTTGGATCTTGGTTTTTTTAAAAAAAAATTATTATGAAAATGGTCTTAGGCCCGTTTTATAAACATTATGGGTGTTTTGGTTGGATTTGTGGAGAATGACTTTATAGAACGAGTTTATTGTTATGTGATTTTCGGTATTGCAATATATAAGTTTTAATATATAATATTATTGGACGGGATGTTATGTTGACAATAAACTAGTTCTATGCAAGTTGCTTTAGGGATAGTAAGTGAAAACATACTGTTTATTATTTGCATTCAATGGTTGAATTATTAGGGAATTAAAAAATAGATTGATGAATTAACAACTACAATGAATTAAATTCTATTTTTCACAAAAAAAAAAAACACACAACTACAATTAATTAAATTGAGATCGTGCATAAAGTTGTGAGGATTAAGCGTGTTGGATTTCCGAAGTTTTCATTCCATCAATTAAATAAACAACTTGTTGAGTTTTCTTGGTCTCTCGAGAAGAGAAAATAGTTTGATTATGTTTTTGAGAATGGTATTCTTATCTAAACTAAACTAAACTAAACCACATGAGAGAGATACGAACTCAAACTCTGCATAGTTGTGAGTTAGATTAATCTCGAGTTCGAACCGTATTGTGGCAAGAGAATTAAAAACCAATTAAAAGAAAAAAGTTGATGAGAAAAAAGTGGAAAGGAAAGGTGGAGAGTCCACAATAATTGGCATCAAATGCTTATGGGGATTCGCACTGTTGCTGAATTCCAAGATCTGCAACTAGAAATTAATTTATTCAACATTACAATAAAAAAAATATATAAAAAAAAAACACTAAAATTAAAGCCTTCAACTTTTTGTTGCCCCCGTTCTTAGCTTCCAAATTGGCCGAGCGCCAGGCCGCTGAGCTATCTCTTTGTGCGTCTGCCTTAGATAAAGAGAAAACAAACGAACGAACCAGAAAATTAAATTAAATAATCCCAAAAAAGCTTTTCGAAAAAAGAAAATAAAAAAGGGAAAGTAGCAGAGCAGCAGAGAGAGAGAGAGATCACTGCTAATGGTGCTACTACTGCCCAGAAAAGAAATCTAAAAAAAAGGAAAATAAATAAAAAATGGATGGAAAGGAAGGGAGGGCCAATTAGGGCTCCGTCGGAAAGTTGAACCCCAAAAAGGTAACGCCCCTGTCAAGCTTTTCTCTCTCTAAGCACCACACGTACCCACTTGGTGCTCTCTCTCTCACTGCTTTCCATTATCTGCCATTTGTGAGCTACACGACGGATGCAAGTGCTTTCAACAAATTTTTCTGGGTTTCTGTTACGCTTGACTGCTCAGCTTCTTCTTCTTCTTGTGGGTATTTCTCTTGCTTCTCGAGCTTTCGAGGTTGTCAAAATTTGAGGGGTTTTGCTTTTTTGGGGATTTTGTTCGTATTTTTGGGGATTTGGGTATTTGCGTTTGCAGGTTAAAGTTGCTATTTTTTGCTGAAATTTGAGGTTTTTTGTCACCAGTTATGGCGGCTTGTTGCTGCTTGATTGGGCTTGCTGCAATCGTCGTTGAGCCGTGGAATCTAGGGTTTTGATAATTGAGCAGCCCCAAATCAGTGTTTGTGGTAACAAGAAGGAAAGCGTTGGCTTTACGCGATATGGAATTTCAATTCCTTCAGAAATATAGTGCGTTGATTTGGATTGCGTAGCTGATTTGTGTGCTCCCCGACTAGGACTGAAGTTGTGAGGAAATGGCGATGGAGTCGAACACAGGATATCTCCGCGACGAAGCTTTTGGCTACGGTTTGAACCGACACGCTATATCGTTTCAGTCCGGGGCCATACACAGCAGCTCGGAGATGATTCCGATGGGGAATTATTTTGCTACGGACGGGGGCATGATGTTTTCGTCGAATTCGGGCATAGTTAACAACAATCCTGTAATTAGTCAGGCTGGGAATTCATCAGGTTCTCTGCTTCTCGATTCGGTCCCCGGGCTCAAGCATGACACAGGCTTGGCTGTTGAGTGGTCTGTGGAGGAACAGTACAAATTGACGGAGGGCCTTGTCAAGTAGGTCATTCGGAACCTTATCTCTTGATAAATTCGTTTTCGTTCGTGTATGTCTGCGTTTAAGTGCCACAGTTATGTATACTTTGCTTGCCTATTAATTTGATATTCATGTTGCTAAACTACCTCTAGTTACGATTCACCGAATGTTGTGATGAAGCTTCTGATGTGATTAAGTTTTGTTGTTGACGAAGCTTCGGATGTTTGCACTCTGTCTAACTGTAACAAACTGCAAATCTTTTGGTCCTTCTAATATAAGCATAACATATGTTTCCTTGGACTTAAGCCATCAACTTCTTAAACCATTAGCTTCTTAAGCCATTACTTTATGTCTATGGCCTCCTGTCGTGCTTTAAATATTTTGGGGTCCATCACGCATTGCCATTGTTATCAGCTTTTCGCATCCCTGCAGTAGAAAACTTGAATTGGTATGGTTATGTTCTAAATAGCCTTCTTGTTTCACATATATTCTCGCTATGATGTGAATTGATTTTCTTTCAATTTACTTTATGTTGCCTAGTTGCTGTCCTACTATGGTGAATTTCATTTACTTTGTGTTTGGAAGTTTATCATATTTGTGCCATTTATTTTCCGGTTGTAGATATGCTGATGAACCAAGTATTATGAAATACATAAAGATCGCGGCAATGTTACATGATAAAACTGTGCGTGATGTTGCTTTGAGGTGTAGGTGGATGACTGTAAGCTCTTTACTTTTCCTAATGATGTATTTTTAGTTTTGTTCATTACTTTAGATTTGTTCCTTAGATTTTTCGGTTGAGTTAGAACTAATTTTGAAATGTTTTGCAGAGAAAGCGTAGGAAACCTGAAGAACATAGTATGGGAAAGAAGGGGAACATTAGGAAGGTTGTTTGTGAAATTTGTGTGAACTGTCTGACATTGGTTTTTGTTCGAACTTCTCATTTTTTATCATGAAGATTTTTTCATTTCAAGACTTATTGGAAATAATAATAATGGGTTGACTCCTTCCCCTGAGTTTAAACATTACTATGTATTCCCACTGTAATCATTGTTGGACATGAAAATTTGAGATCCCATGATGTATCGGTGACTTTTGGTGTCCTAAGATGTAACACAATTAATGGAATTTTTGTTTTAATTAATTGAACCAATGAATGTCTTTAGGATCTAATGTTGATTGAAGAACCAGTATTCTAAAGATCATGCTTCTTCAGGATAAACTGGTGGAGTCGTCTACAACGACAAACATACATACAGCTGCACCACTGGACATGGCTGCATGTTCTCATTCGGTGTACCATATGGACCAGAGTGAGCGTTTGCAGTATGAAGGTTCGAGATACTACCTTGTGTCTTCTCTCATTATTGTTTTTCATCTAAATATATACTACTTAATATATTTCATTTGGTAGTTTCATTGACGTATTTGTTCTTTGGTTACTATCAGGATTAAGTGGCACATTCAAGCATCTATTGGAGCAAAATGCTCAAGCTTTCAGTCAAATTACATCTAATCTTTCATCATACAAGGTCAGTGCCTCCTGCCATCATAGTTATGTTGATTATTACACAGCTAATTTGCATGCCATATTGTTCCACACGCTAACAGTTGAAGTCATCTGTCAAAATTAAAAAAGGGATGCCTGTTCTTGTTATGTTACTTTATGCAACTGATGCGTTGTGGCAGCAGCATTACTGCTTGATGTTCTTCTTCTGGAATTTTATTTTTCCAATTGATCAGCATATATTGATGAATGAAATAATTTTCTACATTTATTTACTCATTTATGATAACTCCGCCTATGTATCTTACATTGCCGGTCCCAAGCCCGGATAAAGGAGGAGGGGGAGGGCGTCAGGTAGTCGACAGCCGGCACTCCATGATCACGTCGAATCCTTATGATTTACTCATTTATGATAAGCTTGACCTTGTTTGTTGTAGACATGGTATAATCCAAATCCACTATATATTATCGCTAAACGACAGCACTGCCTACCCCAAGCATCTCTCTTTTCTGAGTTTGAATTTACTGGCATAAGTTTTATGTGCATTTCGGATGAACATATAATATCATTTAACATTAGAAGCATGTTCTTTTTATCGCTTGCTTAAAAGTTTGTTTCTTTCATAAACAGTTGCAGGAAAACATTGACCTCTTCTACCGCACGAGGAACAATTTAACTGCCATCCTTAACGAGTACGTGCATAGTTTCAATGTATATTACAAATAATGAGATTTGGTCAACTTTGACAATGCTATTTCATTTTTGCAGCATGAGAGGTATGCCTGGCATAATGAGCCGAATGCCTCCCCTGCCACCCATTGACGAGGATCTTGCTAATAGTCTCTTGCGTAACGCAACTTAGGTATGTTCATGTGAAATGACTCATATTCTTGGTGAGTTGGTGTGCATGACCCGGGCACTTGTGAAGGCGGGAGAGGGTGGAAAGTGTTTTCCAAATTGTTGTATAGCTGGATGATTGTGTACTCTTTGTTTATGCCTTTCGTAACTATTAATTCTTGACTATTTCAGCCTGTAATCTAATGTGCATTTGATGAAAGTACTAGCTGTCAGTTCTGCATTTCTTTACTAAGAATTGTCCTCTCTTTTTTTCAAGAGTTTGATTTTCTGTGCGGCGTTCTTTAGTCTAATCGCTGCATGCCTTATGAACTGAATACGAATAAATAGCCCGAATTTTTTTGACATATGTAGTTGACTTCTATTTGTAATGACCAATTCAAGCAGACAAATCAAGGTCCTGAATCATGATGGACTGCCTCATTGTTCGAGCGCAAAGCGTACAAGTTGGGAAGCAGAGTAGCACATATCCGACGAGGCCTACTCAGAGCCGCCCCAATTTGGCATTTGATCTTAGTGCTCCATCCATGGCTAGCTTCATTTGTTGTGTCTAAAATTATGTACCCTTACTTCCATTTGTGCAGGAAATAAGCGAGGTAGATACAGTTCGAGCTTCCAACACTTATTTTTCACTCTTGTAAATTTCGATTTATAATTGCTAATTGTACCACATTACTTTTGTTTGGTGCCCTGCTTTGGTTTGTTGGTTTGCTCATGAGGAACCCTGCTGAATTTCTATGCTGGAATTTTATGGCGAGCAACGGATTTAAAACCGAAAAAAACTAGATCTGACTCGAGGATAGAGCTATTTATTTACAGATGACATGAAATTTGTGTGCACAATAATGTACAGATCAGTGTTTATAACCATCGACCGGATTATTTTTAAGGCGCGAGAGCCATCACCTCCTGTAAAATGACAGCAGCCTCATTGTATCGATCCTGGGTCAACGGCAGGCTTTGAATTTTCACTGCATGGTCCAACTGGAAAACAAATAGCATATTGTCGTGTGAGAAAGTTAAATCGCAAAGTAAAATCCTCGCATGCGCTTAGGGAGGTCTAAACGCAGTTGCAAACGGGTGGTTAAGTTAATTACCTCTTCAATGGAGCAAAACAGTTTGTTGGCAAGTTCAGTGAGAGCTCTCTTCTGGTCCCTTGGTGAACGAGAGATCATCTGATTAAGATCACAGTACAAGAACGTGGATTTGAGGCGGAGATCCCTTCCCATCAACTCCCACGAGTGATCGTCGTTCGTCAGATCGTTCCCGATTGACAGTAAATCGAAAGCACACTTCTTAATCCTGCAAGCACTTCCCTTTAATTGCATGTCCACCATTTTACCATGCCCTACAGCATACAAATTTTGACATGAAACAAAAAAACCAAGTAGAATAAATAAGAGCAAGTTTTCCTCATGAGAAAAGCATAAGCCTCAACTGGAAGTTGAAGCCTTTGTGCTTAAGAAAAGCAAAAGGGGGAGTGATCCCACATTTTGTTCGCCCAACTTTAGATTGAATAAACCAGAAGAGAATCGAAGGACAAAAACAATAGGCGGGAGTGGGAGTGCATAAGGAGAAAACGAGGTTGTGAAAATTACTCCCCAAACCAAATGGAGCGACTGTGACAAAAAAGATCATTTGTACTAAAAGCACTTTTGTCAAGGCATAAAGTTTTCTGATACAGAATGTGATTCTTTTACTACCATTCTAAAACCATATTCAGCACCATCAGATACTAGAAGTACTATTATTAATCGAATAATAAACGTTCTAATTCCTTTTATTAAAAGCACTTTTGAGCTAAACCAGCTGCTGGAAATTCGTTAAGTTTGAACTCGGAAGCCCTCATACAATTCCGTCATGCAATTTGGAAAATTTCAAAGGAAAAAAAAATGTTGGGAAACAATAATATGGATATGTAAAATAAAAATCAACCCCTCATCCCAGAGGAGCATATATCATCACATAATTAGAACCACAAAACCCAGAAAAAAATAACGAATTAAACGTACAAAATTCAAAGCAAAAGAGAATTAATAATAAAGGAAAATTAAAATAAAAAATGGAACAAATTAAATTAGGGGAAAAAAAAGAAAGCAAGAAGAAGGAGAGGAGAGAGAGGAGTTAGACGGAGTTACCTGAACGGTGTTCTGGAAAACGAGGATATGTCATCCGTTGCCTCCTGTAGTCACTACTGCTTCAACAGAGAGAGAAGCATAAATAAAATTAATTAAATAACTACTTTTTGAGGCAAGAAATTTCAACTAAAAAGTTTGTTTTAATCGTGCAAAATTATTCATCTAAAAATATTTTAAGTAAGAGAAATTAAGGTGGGGACTGCGATGGTGGTGGGTTTTGTATTAAATATATATATTTTTTTAAATTAGAGTTTGGGATTAGAAATTAAAATAAAAATTAACAAAAAAATAGTGGAAAATTAAAATCAATGGTAACCCGTCAAGTTCCGTTGCTCTGAAAGTGGTGCATCGCTCTTTATTTCGAGAGATTTTTCAATGTGATCGTTACACAAGGTGATACACCACGTGTTCCTATATAAATGGTGGGTTATATGTGTTAAAAGATTAATAATTTAAAAATTAAATTTTCCACCACTTGCATAAAAATACATGGTGTACCATCCATGTTCTCGTCACAATTAAAAATTTCTCCTTTATTTCTGATCAAATTTTAGACACAAATTTTTTTATTTTATTTTTTGTAAATTTGGTTTAAGAGCTGGATTAGCGGCTTAAATAAAATTAAGAACTGAGGTCCAATTGAACTTGTTTTTTGGGTTAACAGTAAGCTGCCCTTCTTTTGTTTGAAAGGACATGTATGAAGTTGTACAATGTTGATATGAAGGCATTCGTCAACATCCATCTTCAATGTTGTACTAGCACTACAATTTAATGGTTCTTCGGTAATGTCGTTGTTGCCCAAAAATTTAAAGCCACTTTCAACATGTGATAGCGTACGATCAACATAATCAAATAAATTTTAGGGTAGTAAGAATACAAATATAGATTTAGAATAGAAAGAGACGGCCGTTAATTTTTTTTTTTTTTTTTAAGTGGCCAACTGGTGACTAACCTACCCTTCGATGCCCGAATAAAGCTAGTCAAGAATTGTACCCTACCAGTGACCACGAACATCCTAAAACCAAGCCAAACGAGCATCCGAGGTAAAATGGTAAAAGAAGTTGGGGCTTGCAAAAATCGAAGCACAACAGGTCCGGTGTTATTAGGCCTAAACTTGAAGCCCGAACTACTCCATCAAAATTTTGTTTGGGCCCTATTTGAGAATTATTCTCAACCAAGAGTATGCTCATAAAAATTTTGGAATTGTTATTGGCTCATTTAAATTTAGAAGAAAATTAATTTTTATGAGGAGTGTATAATTAGTTTTCTGAAGTATTAATAATTTTTTTTTTTTAATTTTTACTTTAAATCAAAAAAATTTTGTTTTAGGAAATAATTTGCTATTTTGCGCTGGGGTTGAGAAAAATTTGCAAAACCTTTGAATGAGATCCTACGATTTCTTAGGTTCCGGTTCTATTTTTAGTAATTTTTTAAGTTGAAAAACATAAAGTAATTCTCAAAAATCGATTTGAAAACGTGAGTTGGTCACAGTTTTTGTGGAAAAATTGAAATTTTTAGTTTAGGAAATCTTTTGTGTTGGAGTTAAGGAAAATGTTGCAAGACCTTTGGATGTGATCCAACCATTTATTAAATTCTGAAACTATGTTTTATTGATTTTCAAAGTTGAAGAATAGAAAAAATAATATAAACTAATAGCGGAGCGCCCAAAGAGATTGGAGGTGTCGAAAATATTTACAATGTCCTAAAATTAATTTTAGGTAACATGTGGTGCAATGAGAAGGACTCAAAATTTGGCTTACAATGAATCATGTAAAAATTCTCAAAATCAATTAGAAAACGTGGGTTATAAGTCACGGTTTTTGTGGAAAAAAACAATAGTTTTTGGGAATATTTTGCTTGGGATTAAAGGAAAATGTTGCAAGACTTGTAGATGTGATCCTAACATTAATTAGGTTTCGAAACTTATTTATTTATTTATTTTTAAAGTTGAAAAAAAATATAAATTAATAAAGGGTCCCAGTTGATTTATAAAATAAACAGATTAAATGATGATTTATGTACAAATAAAACTTTATATGGCATTTGGTAGCCGGATTTACGATTTATTAAGCAACAAATGTATATTTAGTAGAATATTTAAGCAAAAAACTGAAAAAATAAGTAAAAAATATAACAGCGAGGTCCAAAACATTATAAAGTATTTGAAAACAGTTTTATAATTTGTACTAATGGAGCGTTATAAAAACACTTTCAAACCGCTCTTTGATAAGAAAATGAAATCGTCTAATCACAATTTGTTGAGCATTAAGTTCCGAATCAAAGTGACAAAGAAAATTATACGCATCCAACCAAATTCCACAAATGTAATTTTGGTAATTTCTATATGTATTGTTGCTTTTGGAATCAAGTGCTCAAATCTCGGACAAAGCACTTTCCGTACCAAGAAAGTAATGTTTTTTTTGTCCAAATAGATAGAAGATCAACTTTTAAATTTGAATGGCTTATTTTTTCCGTGTATATTTAAGGAGAATAATATATGAGATGAATGTTTATAAATTGTTATGTCTCTTTTGCCTTGACTAACAAGTAACAACCAAATCTCTTGGAAAAAATGCCAAAAACATATTCTTCCAAAAACCAAGACGTTTTGTGAGGTTATCGTAAACAACATACGAATGCGACCAAAGCCTGCACGTGGATTGTATATTCATATTTGCTTCAAGGTCTTTTGGGTTTTAGTCAAAGAATTTATTTATTTAACTGTTTAAAAATCCATAAATCTCTTTGTTTGAGCATCTGATGTATAAGAGTAGACCCTAGAAACTTGGCCTCCTAATTGGTCCCCGGCGTTATTATAATTTAGTTTATGAGTCAGTTGTATGACAATATGAAGAACCCATTTCCCGTACTAATTAAAACTCCAAGTTCAAACCTAATTCGAGCTATGTCGTGATAAATATAAGCCTATCACGAATTTTATAAACCAAACATATCAATACTCTAGTTTGGTACGTTCGTTCTAAATCAAGCTTAATTAGTCTTAACTTGTTACTTTCACGAACTAAATCCAACTATTTAAGCAGAACTCAAACCTATCTTGAGGCTTCTTTGTAAAACAATACAAGCTCTTCCCACGACCTTTTGTGAACCAAATATACCAATGCTCAAGCTTTGATTCGTTTTTTAATCGAGTCATTGTGTTTGTTGTGACCAGAGAGTTGTTGACTGAATAAGACATGTTGCTGTTTTGTGTATGCCTCTCTGCCTTTTGGGCGGCACCAGCACCAGCACCAGCACCAGCACAAGCACCAGCAACACATTACACATCGATAGATTGTTACATCATATTGTCGAGCCTTCAGGGAGGGATCGAGTCATCTGGGCGGCACCGTGTCTCCCTCCCTTCCCTTGACCTAATTGCTTAATTTGCTCATGATTTTGGGGCCCCACCTTAACATGTGGTTTTCTTTTTTCTTAATCTTTATTTTTATAAAATGATTATTCAAAGTTTCAAACTTCGAAAGCGGCACATGCATATGCAGCATTGCAGCAGTAAAAATAAATCTGAGTCTCCTACGACCTCGAAAG